CTGACTCTTCCAAGACACAGTCTTGAGCAAGTGCTGTAAAGCTAGGAAAATAGAGCTAGCATACCCATAGCTTGGATGTGGAACAGGTTAATGAGATGTGAGCAGATCCTCTTAAAATACAAAGGCAGGTCAGCTGCCGAGATGAGTTTGTCTGCCCACTTCCTGGCTTCTGCTGTGCAGTGACTTGGTGGCTACCAGTAGCTATTAAAAGGCTTCACAGGTGGGTTTAGCAAAGAAATGGAGATTCTTTCAGATCTTCAAGTGGCTTCCTCTCCCATGGCTGTCCAGGAAAGGTACTGTGACAGTCAGGTACTGCATCTGAAACACTTCAGAGAAAGCTGCTCTTCACCAGCACAGCTAGCAGCAGCCAGAGATCCCACAACATCCAGCCACCCTTTAGCACGCTGCTCTGTGTGTAGCAAAGCCCAGTTTGTCCCACAGCAGTGCTGGGGTTCAGATGCTGGGTCTTTCTGCCTGTTCTAAGTTGCTCACCCCAAATATTTGAGCTTTTTTCCTAATGTGTTCAATGTCAGGGGTGCCAAAAGTGAGCCAGGTGGGTATCTCTGCTCTTGTGCCTCAAGTCTTCCCTACTCCCCAGTGACACTGGCTGTGTAGCTCTGCTGCTGCAGTGAACTCACACGAGGAGGCTCTTAGCCAGCTCTGAATATTTTAGCAACAACATACAAATGTTCTAGGTCATTCTTGCCTGCACAGCTTCTCATGCATTGAAGGGGGGAGGTGGGAAATTGTGGCTCTGTAGGAAGGTCTGTATTAAAACTGCCTTTCCTTCCTGTTCTAGGGAACGTCTGTCTGCCAGGCTATTCTTGTGGGATCTGTAGTTGCTCTTCTGTATTCCTCAAGGGCTTGCTATAACCTGGTAGCTGTGGCCATATCTCCAGACAGTGTTCCTGGTCCTTTTAACTATGGCTGGGACAACTTTTCAGACAAGGTAAGTGTCTGTGAGCCCTGATCCAGAGCTGATAAAGTAAAGTAAAGGCAGCTCTCTACTGTCCTGTGAGGGTGTGTGGAGGGCAAAAGGGGAGCCTGGGGGGATATCTGTTTTGCCAAATCCCCTTTTTGCCTTCAGAAGCCCTGCTTGCTCTTTCCACCAGAGCAAACCTGAATCTTCCTCTATCTGGCTGCTTCAGGAGGGATTCCCTGATGTGCTCTTCAGTTTTAGCCTGCCAACTCCTCTTTTGGGGGAGAGGAGGAACATGTCAACTAGAGCAGAAAAGCAATGCTTAATCAGGCATGGCTGTGCGCAAGGGAGAGTCATTGGCGTGGGAAGGGAGCTACCAGTACCCTGGTAGCACACTGAAGAGAACTCTCTCACTAAAACCAGTAGCAGCAGTCAGGTAGGGATCACTATTCTGGTTTAGGGACTCCTGCCTTTGTAAGGGTTTCTGTGCATTCCTAGTTGTAAGCTGTGCTCAGCTCTGGGAGCTGTGTAGCTCTGCTGATGGCTGCTAGGGTGATACAAAGACCTCTGACCTCTGTTTGCAGGTGCACGTGGAAGTGAGCAGTGAAGAGTATGTGGTGTTTGGAGTGGTCCTCTTCCTCTGGGAGCTGGTGCCAACAACTTTCGTGGTGCTCTTCTTCCGGGCTCAGAGACTGAGTCAGAACTTGGTAGGTCTAAGCAAGCTGCTGTAGCTTGAAGAGCTCCAAAGTGCCTGAGGTCGGGGGGGAGGCCTTTTTAGGAAGATTTAGAAATATCTTGCTTCTGGCCTAACTCCTTACTCTTTAACAGACTTCAGCAGGGATGGTCAATAGTCACAGTTACAGCTCCAGAGCCTACTTCTTCGACAATCCGAGGCGCTACGACAGCGATGATGACTTGTCACGGCTTGGGGCCAGAGAAGGAGGGTAAGTGTTGTCTTGAGCAAGGGAAAGCACAGCTGCTGTTCTGTTGCCCTGTGAGGAGCAACAGGGCTCTTGGCTTCTGCTCTTATCTGGGGGTAAGAGGCAGCTAGTCAAGGTGGATGGGGCAAGGAGCCTTCTGGCTGAGCTTGGTTGTGTTCCCTTCTGCAGCTCAAGCAGCTCACAAGGAGCTATTTTCATTAGAAGGGACCAGTTCTGAGGGGTGGATATTGCTCACAAGTAGAATATGCAGTGGCTACAGCCAGGAGAGCTGTTCTTGCTGGGATCCTTCCTCAGCTGTTGGGGCAGAGGGCTCTGAAATGACCTCCAGAGGACTTTCTCTGCTGGAAAGTGAGAGGTGGTGTAACCCTGGGAGGGATATTGGTCTCTGAGAGCCAGCTGACACAAAGCAGGGGTCTGAACTCCATCTGTCATGGGGTTTAGTGAGGGGTCAGAGGTTCTGGCTCTTCTTGACCAGTGTTGGAGGGCCTGGTGCTCCTCACCTGCTTCCTCAAAGCCAGGTTCCTTGGAGATCCCATGCCTGCAGGCTACCCTGCCTGGTGCTGGGAGCTGCAGACTTTCCAAAGCCAAATTACTGGTCTCTAAGAGTCCATGTCTGGTTTTTCTGTCTCTCCTCCCAGCTTGGCCACCCCTCAGTGCTCTGGCTGCTATGGGTCCCTGGCTGGGAATGACAGCTACGTGGTGGGTCCCCATCTCAGCGCAACTGCTACAGACAGTGCCCCCTTGCTCTTTGCCGCGGGCGGCTCGGAGATGAATCACCATAGCTCCCACCCCATGCCACAGAACTGAAGAGGCTGCAAGGTCCCTCTCTTCCCTGAAGTGGCATTCATGTATAGGATTGTAACCTGGTTTTCTCTTTCCTCCTTCCCTGAAGCATCTAACTCATCGACACAAACATTCCACTACCTGCTGCAGCTGTAAGCAGGACTGAGCCTATGGCTGCAGGCAGTAAGCAAGAGAACTGTGACTTTAAGGTACCATGTAGCAAAGTGAAGCTGAACTCTCGGGAAGCTTTTTTTTTTATCTTGGTCTGGTTTTCAAGATGTTGGCAGCTAAATGCACCAGAGCTTCCTCACTAGAAAAGAAACATCAAATGCATATTTGCACTTTTAATCTGCACACTTGGAAGGAACAAATCTTGCTCGGACTGTGCTTGGTCTGAGACTGTTCTAGTTACTCTTTTAATTGCACATCCATAGCTGGGAGAGGCACTGTCTTCCCGCAAAGACGTGTTCAGTGAAGTACTCTGCATCCTGACTCACTTGGGAGCATGAAGCTCTGTCAACAGAGCGTGCTATGGGCAGGGCCTCCTGCGGTGAATGTTCAAGCGTCCTGTGCCATATTCACAGCCTCCAGGCTGAGGGTGGGCTTGTTCCAACTGCTGTTTCTTGTTTCACCCTGTTACTGAACTGCCCTACCTAGGGCTGAGGGTTCAAAGCTGAGCTCCAAGAGTGTCCTAGCAGAGGCCTGGGAGGGTGAGATCAAGTGCTCCTATGGGCATTAAGGTCACTACACTGTCACTGAGCCACTGGCTTATGGCAGAGGAAGAGGGCTGGCTTGGATGAGGGCTGCTGCCCAGTGGGGGGATAAGACTTCAGAGGCTGCTGCTGCCAGGGAAAGCTTAGAGCTGGAGTGCAGAAGTGCATGGGGCCCAAAGCGTGTGTAGAACCAGGGCTGCTTTAACTGCTGGGTGCAGTCCTACTCCCCTCTTCACCCACAGTGGGGTTCCCCTTTCCCCTCAGTATTAAATTGCATTTAGCAGTTAACCAGGAGTTTTAACTTGAATGAATGTGAACCAGTGGGGTCCCACTGAGGTGCAGGAGGTGTCTGCTTGTGGAGGCAGAAGCAGGTCCATGGGCCTGGAGTTCTCCCAGTGTCAGCAGTGCTTAGTGGTATCTATGGTGTTTGAGTGTGCTGGGCCAGGCTAGAAGGAGGTTTCTCTGTCCCTCTTTAACCAAAAGAGTCGAATTCGACCTGGCCATGAGCTCCATGGGGCTCTTGGCAATGAGGCTTTAAGTTATTCCTGGCTTGTGGGGCTGAGCAAAGCAGCTTTGGCCACAGGCTTGGCTGGAGGCACAGGGCCAGAGAGGGCAGCTGCTCTCAGCTCTGGTGCCAACCTCAACTGGAACTGCTTTTAACCCACCCTCTGCTTTTCAACCCACTGTGCCACCGCAGGACTCACCAGTGCACACAGTGGTACAGGCTCTGACTGTGGGACACTGGTGCCAGAGGGTCCCCAAGGCAGCCTCAGTGTCCCCAGCTGGGTGTGAGTCCCCCCAGGGGACAGCCCCAGCCTCTCCTCACTTGCTGTGTCACTAGGATGGCCCCCTCACCCACCTCACACGTACTGACCTAGATGTCACTTGTCACACTGACAACACCCTGTCCCTCTATGTGGTCTCTGCTGTGGGCCCTGCTAACCTGCTTCACTCTGACCATCCCACCCCCCAAAAAAAAGGAGCAACCCCTGCTGCTTTTTAGTGAAAGCTCAGAGATGACAACTTCCAGCACATCCCTCTTGCTCTAGTACTTGAACCAGAGAGCTGCACCCTGCCTGCCGTGGCTCTCCTGGCTGCTCTACCTTAGGTAAAGGACCTGTCACCCTGGCTGGGCTGCAAAATACACATTGCTCCATCTCAATCACTGCTTGACTTATGGCAAAGCTAAGGAAGGACCTGGACCTGGTGTGTGTTGCCCTTCTTTCTTCTCCCATAAGTCACCAAAGACAGTAAGTGATGCTAGCAGCCCCTGTTCTCGCTTCAATTCCAAAGCACTAGGAGCACTTTAAGTTTTTCTTGGGAGGGAAAGGCGTGTAGTGCAAAAAAAAAAAAAAGAAAAATAATTTAAAATAAAAATGTAAAGGGCTACAGGCTCATTGTTCATATTGCACTGAAGCACACAACAACAATACGATCTTCCTGGCGTTGGGCGGGCAGCGCGGGGCAGTGAGTCTCCTTGCTAACGTACTCGTGAGTGACTGACAAAGTGTTTTGGTTTTATTCATTTGGATGGATGGCCGGTAATTTCAAAACTCTGACCGCTCCTGCTGGGGCCGGTCCCGTGTTTTACTGAAGTAATTTATAGCTGAGAAGTACAATGACTTTTTTAATGCATAGTTGCCTTTCATTAAACTTTCTCTCTTTTTCTTTTTGGTATGGTTTAACAGTGTTTTGGCTTTGCAGTCAGGCAGCAGCTGGCTGCAACAGGAAGCTGTGGCCAATGAATGTACCTATTTGTTCTTCACTAAACTGTAACCAAGCACTACTATGTTGAAATAAAAAACAAAAAAAGCCTTTCTGTGCTAGGTTGCTGGAGGCCTGGCTGTGTTTTGCTCTTGGTGTGACCCAGCCCAGGCTGCAGCCCCCTTGTCCTGGCTGTGCAGGCACAGGATGCTGGACTTATCTGTGTCAGGTAATTCAGTAAAGCTGTGTCATGAGGGCTGAAATGGACCCGGTGTAGCTCCCAGGACCTAGCACCTCACTTGGTGACTGCAGCATTGCAGCGAGTCCCTCTGTAGGCTTGACTCTGTGTGTGTGCACAGCACCCAGAGGTGTTTCTCAGTGAGGGGTCCTGCAGCTTCCCTCTGCAGCTGTGGATTTCTGGGGCTGGGAAGGGGAGAGCAGCTTTTCTTCCCCTACCCTCACAAGGTCCTCTGGTGTTTCTCAGGGCTGGTTGTGGCCCAGAGGGACGCAGTGCTCCCCCTCGTCCCCAGCTTGTGAGGTACAGTGTGCTTGAACCGTGTCCTCTGCACCGTGCTGCCTTCTCCCTCCTCCCAGGGCAGGGGACACCTCAGAGTGCAGGCTGTGCTTTGCCCCCTTCCAGGACCTGCCACCCTTCCAGCCTCTTTTGCAGCCCTGAGCTGCGGAGGACCTGAACCCCCTTCAGTATCTTGGTGTTTCCTTTATGTCCTTGCAGGGTTTATCTGCGTGGCCTTTAGCTCACTGCAAACAGCAGCAGCTTGGCTGGAGCACGCACTGCATCCTCCTGTGCACCACCTGCCCCCTGCAGTGAGTTTTGGGCTTTGGTGTGAAAAGCAGCATGGCTGCTGGGGCTGCTGCACCCCTGCACTGCATGGGGCCAGGCTGGGGTGTCACCGTCTGTCACCAACCACACAGAAGCCTGGCCTTTGCCCCATTGCGAAGGCGGATGGTGCAATCAGGGCTGGCTCTGGCCCTGCGGGACCCAGCTGGCAGCAGGGCTGCGGGGGAGCCAGGGAGGCCCTCTGCTCTGCCCCAGCAGCTCTGTGTCCTACTGCCCCAGCTGCTTGTCCTTGGAGCAGCAAAACTCAACTTCACTTCATCTCTTGCTGCCTCTGAGGACCAGCAGCCCCACCGTGGGTACGTCCTTGCCATTTTTAGCCTTGCCTGGCTACCGACATGAGATCAGCAGATCCCAAAAGAGGACAAACCTGCTTTAACAGGCCAGGAGGGACAGGAAGGCCAACAGGTCCCATCATGAAGCCCAGTTTTTGGCCACACCTCTGGTTTCTGACAGCAGAGCAGGTAGAACTGAGAACTGGCCTTGTGTCCCCACCCTCTTCTCAGGGGACAGCAGGGTGCCTGCAAGGTTCCAGACATGATGGAGGTATGAGGGTGGCCAAAGGGCAAGGAGCAGGGTTCCTCCAGCGTGCTCCTGCTCCATTCATCTCCCCTTGCCTTCAACATGGAAGCAATCACTGAAGCCTCCACCACACAGGGTTACTGCAGCAGAGACCATCAGGAACAGCCCCGCTGCCACAGGAAGATTGCACCAGGAGGAGGAAGGCACTTTCATACAGAAGAAGCTCCTACACACCCTTGCAGGCTGTTTGATGCAGCAGGAAGTGACTGCAGAGACACCATAAGCAAGGGGCTGGTTGAAAGCACGGAGCAGACAAGGAATTTTCCCCCAGATTTATTCAGTGGCACAGTTCTTGCACTGCCTCCAGCTTCTGAAGGCAAAGAGCTGGGTCTAATCCATCAAAATAACACAGCAATACTTGAAGTTAATCAGAATGATCTTCCAATATATAAAATAAAATTTTACACAATCCTCAATTTTATACAAAAACGTCATTGGGGTTTTTTTTTTTCCCTTGTGCACAAGATTTGGCATCAGCAGGTTACAGACAGGAACTGGAGGTCCAGCAAGCAGCCTTCACCGTGCAGTGGGAGTGTGATGGTACGATGGTATTTGTCCATTTACAACCCAGCAGTAACACTTTTAAGTCTCTCTTTTTCCTGTGAATTCACCGCATATTTCGTAAGATGTTCCTGAAGTTTTCCAGTTCTCTGACACTTGTTGAAATCCTGGGTGCAAGGAAAGCAACAGGAAAACATTAGAGCAACATATGCATTACACCTCGTTTAACATTCAAGAGAAAGGGACTGCAATTGAGTAAAGCTTCAAGGAGCTCTTGAGAAGAGAAAATTCAGAATTTCAGCTCAGTTTGGTTCTGCTTACAACCAGGCCCCTGGCTAACTCTGCAGACTCTTTTTAAAGCAACCCCTGAGAAACACAGTGGAACAGGATGTGAGAGAGAGCTCAGCAGCAGTCACACAAACCCATTAACAAGAGGTCAAGAAGCAGACCATAATATTACCAGCTGTGCATGCAGGCCAGAGTCTCCTTGCCACATGCTTGTTTCTTCTGAAGGGTTTGGTTTGAATCTCCTACCTCCTTTTTCTTGCTGAATCCATTTTGCCCCAGGAGCATCGGTGAAGATGCCAGATTGGACTCTGAGGACGCTACCTGTCCCTTCCCAGCCACAAACTTTGGTTTATGGAGGTTTTGGATAACCCAAACCCCTCGTGAACAAGCGGCAGAAGCTGCAGGGCTGTTTTAAAAGGCTCTTCAATACCCCAGGTAGGTGGGACATGAGAATGAGCTGCCTGGCTCCAGCCTCTTCACACAGCAGAGGACTTCCAGGGGGGGAGTTTTAGCTGGGGGGCAAAGGGACAAGAGAAGAAAGAAGAAGGCTCTTTGCCTGCCAGCCCTCATCTTCCTCTGGTAGAAGCAAGAAGCCTGAAGGAGAGCTCTAAAACCAGCATAGAGCAAGAACAGCAGCCCTTGTCTGGGAACAATGCATTCTGAGAACAGATTCAGTTTCTTAAAAATCACCAAATTCTTTATGTCTTAATATAAACACTTCCTTAAATTCCTTACAGAAACATCACCTGACACTTGAAAGCTTCTTCATGAGATGGTATGATCAGAGCAGGACCTAACGCTAATATTGCTGATGAGAACTGACTGTTTAGGCTGAAATGGGATGTAACAGCAGCGTGTGTAGAACTAGAGGAAAGTCTCAAACTAACCTTCCAAAAGCATTGAATAAGGCCACAATTTCTTGTCTTGTCAGCTGGAAACCATAGGAAGGGCCACTTTCAGGTATTTTTTCTATCAGGTTTTCAGAAAAGAGAATCTTCAGCGCTGTACCCAAGCCCTGTGTCTGTGCACAACAGAAAACATCGTTTAATAGCAGGGACACATCCAGAGCCTGACTCACAAGTTTAACTTTGCTTCCCTCCTTTATCTTTGCAAGGATTCCTGTTGACATCTTAATGGAGCAAGACCTGGATTTCACTGAACTCAGCCCACAGAAGGGCTCAGAACAGAGCCAGGACCCTTTCTTTCTTTAGCATTACCGTGACAGCAGAGCCACCCAGCGAGGTTTCCTGTCTAGGGCTGACCACATGTAAAATTCAAGGCAGATCTCGCCAAACCCCAAATTTTAGAGCACCTTCTGCCTTGCCTGCCAGAGCAGCCCTGATCTGTACCTAGGAGCTGACCTGCGTCCAAAACCCAAGAACCTCTGCACCAGAGGCCCACCAGATGAGGTGCTTCCAGCCCTAGCTGCTGACAGTGCTTACCTGCAACTTCCCCCACAGGCGACATTTGAAGCAGCCAACGCAGTCCATTATCTTAGAAATATTCTTAAAGTGTAGCCTAAATTCCTCCTAGGGAAAAAGACATTTTAGTTGGTTGTGGTTACACAACAATTAGGACTTCTTCTGCTATTAATCAAAATCCAATAACGTATTAATCCTGGACTTCAGGCTAAATTCAGTGGGACTGAGTTAGGGAAATGCTTTCTGAAGCAAGGTCCTGTCTTTGTTTAGTCAGTTCTGACCTGGGGAGGAGAATTAGGAAAAGGAAAGGAGACCCATGGGTTGAAATAGAAACAGATTTAATAAGAAACTAATATTAATACCAAGATACACAAAGTTATACTCAACCAATACAGGGGTCACAACAAGCAGAGTAGCTCTTGGGAGCAGAACTGATGAGTGAGACCCTCCATGCTCACTGAGGAAAGAGGGCATCCCCAGCAAACTCCCCAATTTATAGCGAGCATGATGTTTGGAATTACAGAATAATTCTGTTGGTCAGCTTGGGGTCAGCTGCCCTGGCTTCCGCTCCTCCCAGCTTCTGCCCCTGGCTAACTCAAACTGCTGGGGGCCTTGATGGCTGCATACCAGGGCTGGCCAAAAATTAAACCCAAGTGTCTGATCAGCTTTGTTCCCACTAAATCGAGTGCTGCTGTCTTCTCAAAAATGCAGCTTTCCTGAATTGAAAACCAATTCTGAATTGGAAATACCTGATCCAGTGCCTGGCACGTACTGGGGTCCCTTTCAGATCTCCCATTATCCCAGACACACACCTGAAAATACCCAAGCGCCCCAAAGGGAAGCGACAACCAATTACCTTGAGTTTAGCAGCCTCCTTTTTATTCCCTGCAAATAATGAGTTTTCATCAAAATGCAGTGGGAAAGACCTGAAATAGAACAACAACAACAAAAAAAGAGTTTTAGCTCTTCACAGTTTGTTTGTACAGCTGAAATCCAGATCCACAGAAGTATCTGGTGAGGTGTGCAAATGAAACCAATAGGTGTTAGACACTGGACGGCTCTGGATGTATTTTAAGTTGAGCTGCTCATTTCTTAGATCCCCTGGAGGCTTTCAATTTTAGCTTGGATCTCACCTTGGAGACATTTTCAGCAATTGCTCTACGGTTTCTAGGCAATTGTATTCTGTTTTCTAACAGGCATGCGAGTGTAACAAGATAAATTCTACCATCGATCACATTAGAGACACACATTTCCATCTGGTTCAGGTATCTTCCATTCCTCTTGCTCCAAACGCTGTCAAATGCCCCAAATCTCTGTTACCAACATGTTTAGGGTTTATTTTTCTAGTCAAAACCACAGAGCCAGGAGTGGTGTTCCACAGATGAGTCAAATAGGTAGCCAACTTCAGAGCTGACACATAGGCGGTTATTAAATTAAATTCTGCTAAATCAAAAAGGCAGCCTAGACTATTAAACTGTGGGCTTAATTACCCCGTTTTGCAATTTGAATACAGATATCATTGTATTCATGGTGACATTACCTGACTGCACAAATCCCACTACGAGAACAAACCCAGAACCTTTCTAGATGCTTTAAGGGAAAGGTTAAGCACACTCAGAGATGTCAGGGTTGGAAGATGCCCTCCTCCCCGGGTACCACATGTAATTACTTGGCCAGATGGAGGATCTCCAGCAACATGTTCTTCATTTCCGTGTCGTGACTTTTATTCCCCGTGTAGAGCTGGAAACCTGGGCGCTCAAAGAACGGCAGTACTTTGGATAGGGCCCGCAGCTCTATCAGGTAGAGGAAATAGAGGTTCTTCAGTCTTCTGGGACCTTCCCCTTCGGTGAGGACTTCATCAAATCTCTGCTGGAACTCTGTAACGTTGGGGCCCCATTTCTTCTCTGACCACGTATCTGAGAGAGCAAACAAAAAACCCACGAAGATATGAAGTGAAATGTAACTCTAACCAGGGAGATCCAAGCTTTACAAATTGTTCAAGAGTTGAGAGAGGCTTTTAACCAAACTCAAGCCCCAACAAACACCAAATTCCTGCAGAACTTTGCCAGTTGGTTTAAAACATGACCCAGGCTTACAAGCAAAAGCTAAAAAAATGAAGGCTGCCCATTTGCAATAGAGCTAAATCAGTTGAGTTTCCCATCAGGTGAGCTGATGGTTTTGGAGAGCAGTGCTAGGTAAGCTCAGCATCTGTCTGCAAGTGAAGGGGGCTGGATCAGCACCTGCAGATGGGAGTCCCCACATGGATCCAAGGAGCACCTCAGAGCAGAAGTCATCCCCTGCAGCCTTTCACCGACAGAAGCCATCCCTCTCTGCACAGGCCAAACAAAGATGCTTACTTGGCTGGCTGCAGCCAACCTCATCTTCCTAATCCTCTCCGCAGTCCCAACTCATCCCTTGCCTTTGATGTTCCTCTGTTATGCCATCTCCCAACTCTGACGTAGCCCAGCTCGCATCAAGAGCAGCCCTACGTGGGCTGTAGAGACTTAAATGTAATTAAATCATTAAATCTAAATTACATATCCAAATTCCAACAGCTATCTCTAAATCTGTGCTTGATTTCAGTAAGCTTTAGCAGAATAAAGGTGGTAGGCTTGGTCCACAGGTACCACTGTAAACTACCATGACTAAACCCTTCCAGAAGTCAGTCAGGACCTGTGTAAGCGGCGTGGCACAACCCTTGCCCACGCAAGACAAACTTGTGTTTTCACATCACCCTACATTTTCAACCCCTGGGTTGAAATCTAGATTCTTCAGATAGCTATTTATGGGCAAAGGAAATGGAAAATGGCCTTTGGAAATGGATCAAGGGTCTCGGGAGAGCCCAGCCAAGCATTTCACAGTCCAGGTGAGATTACTGCTAAACTGACCATCATAAAGACAGGCTGGGAAGGGACAGCCTTGATACACAGTCAGAAACCCCCTCCAAAATAACCTTGGAGGGAGAGCAGAAGGAATAGGTGCTGGAAGTCTTGGTGCAGAGCACAGTCCAGCCTTTTTCAGGCCTGAAGACGTGGTGACTGCACTCCCGATTCAGCACACATGCCCTGTGCTGAGGGAGGGCAGAGAAGAGCACAGAAGTACTGAACCCGCTGGAATGGGCTCCAGCCAGCATTTAGCAGAGCCACAGAAGTGCTAATTTAGGGCAGAGCTAAGACAGAAAGCAGCATTTACCTTGTAAGAGGTACCTGGCACTCAAATGGATGTTGATGCTTGCATGGAGACCAGAAACGAGTTTGTAGAAAGCTCGTTTCTCTACACAGACACCTGGAAAGAAATGGGTACTGTAAGATATTGAAAGCATACATTGAATTTTCCTCTCCTGGCTGTCACAAATCTAATCCCACCTGAGTGTGGCCGGTAACTCCTGCCCTCTCTCTGGCCTAAAATGCAACCAAATTTAGAAAAAATAAATTATTACCTTTCAGCCACTTGTAAAACGTCTGCCCTGGAAACAAAAGGAAAACAAGCACATCAGTGTGAGACTCCTCGCAGCAGCAGGAGGGCTCTAACCTGCTGTGTTGTGGTTTAGGGTACTTCTCTGGCCACACATTTCGGACCACAACAGGATGATACAGAAATCAGTAAATTGCCTATTGCCCTCCCAGGCTGCTGAGAGGAGGGCACTGCCCAAGCCTGATACCCCAAAACCACCTCCTCAGAGGACCTCTGCTCAATTTTTATAAAATAACCAAACAGGCCCGGAGCTGCAGGGGATGAAGAGCTCTGGGGCACAGCCTTGCCCAGGGATCTCTCCACAGGGGCCTGAACACAGCAGAATTTCAAGACAAATTTGGATTTTGCCTGAATAATTTCCTACCCAGGTGCCTTATCTAATGGTGCAGCCCATGACAGCATGGTAAAGATGCCACATTTGTTTCTGTTATCAGTAAAAACAGAGTGCCACTCACCTCCATTGTCTACTGATGGGAAAAAGCACGAGTGGTGGAGGGAGAGAAAAGAGGAGATCAAAATTACACATGACCAGAATTAAACTCCAAAGCACAAGCATTAAGATGGCTCTGTTAACCTGCTCTGACAAGAGAGGGAGCCTCTCCAGAGAGGTTTCAAGATGTTCGGAACAGAGAAAACTTCCTGTCAAACTGCAGCAGTGAACACATCAGATGAGCAATGCTCCTGAATAACCTGACCAGGGATCGATATTTGCAAAGGAAGTGAAACCCACACACAGCTGAAACAGCGATCAGAAAACTGGGGACACCAGTGTCTACCTCTGCCAGAGATCCCTTGTGTGACCCCTGATGGGACACTCAAGGACCCTGTCCCTGTTTCCTGCAATTTCCTGAGGGTCTCTTTGCAGCCTTGGGCAAGAAGCTCTGGTGTTTCCAAAACCCTTCCCTACTTTCATTTGCACATTCACCCTTAGCCTCTGGGACGCCGTTTCTCCTACTGGATGCTTTCCACAGCAGGTCCCAGCCAGGTTCCCATTTCAGTCCCTCCCAGATGGTTTGGCATTGCCGAGTACAGAAAGCAGGGACTCAGGAAGAGCTCAGGGTTCAGTCCTGCTCCCAGTCCCTCCAAAGCTCACATTTCTTCCAGGAGCAGAGGATCAGAATTCCTTTCTCTGTGATGGACAGTAGAAAACCACCAGGCCCCCTTCCATTGGCCATAAAATTCTACACTTGGTCAAGCTATAACATATTTCTTATTCAGCAGGAGTAGCTTTACTGCTCCTGGAGCTAGGATCAGTACACTACCACACCATTTGGTGAGATAAAGAAATGACTCACCTCTACCAGATGCCAAAGGTCTTTTTACATTCTGAGGCCTAAGAGGAAAAAAACAACATTCATTTAAATAAGATATGTAAATAAGTGACTGTCTCCTTGCTGTGCAGAAACAGCACAGCAGAAGTAGTTACTTCTCTGCAGCCAAACAGCCTGAGCAGCTCTTGGATCTCCTGTGCTTTAGCTTTGCTCAGACAAGAAAAGGAGAGAGCATAGTGCGGCTTTTTTTTCCCCTTTTCTTCTTCCTTTACAAAGAACAGTGAGGAAAACTCAAGTTACATTGCTGCTAGTGAACATGATCCCACAGCCTTGGTGCAACACAGTGCACCAGTAAAAACGGCAGGAAATCACTAGAGGGATCAGAGGAGGTAAGACCACAGAGCAGTGCCCACCAGTACTGGGCATCAGCCCAGGGGTACCCACAGCAGAGTTCAACTGGGGCAAGCAGTGGTCCAAACAACAGCCAAAGGGGGCTCACAGGACAGCCTCACGGCTTGTCCCCTCCTTTGGGACACTGCAGCAAAGAGAGGAAGGTGGTGGTTAACAGAGCAGGTAAAGCACATGCAGCAAAAATCAACGCCTGCAGGCTTGGGGAACCTGGCTCCCAAAGCACCTACTTGAAGCAGTTTTCTTCGTAAATACTGTTCCAGATCTTCCAGGCATCTGGTCCTTTGTAGCCAGTGTAGCGCTCAGGATTCAGGAGTAAATCCACGTACTCGGCATCAGGAGAATAGATATCTGCAAAGCAGAGTGTCGGGTCAGGGACAAAAAGAAGGAAAGTGACCTTTTCCAGGGCTGATCTGGCCACCCCTTCGCATACTGGACAGCCTTCCCAACACAAACCAGGTCGTCCCTCTCCAGAGAGGCAGGTGCTTAACATCTGCTACGCGGCAGCGGGGCAAAGCTCTGCGGCCTTTGGAGCTATTGGAGCACGAGGCCACTGATGGCAAAGCAAACTCTGAGCATGCTCCACCCAAGCTGCTAAACACAGCAAGACCCTGATCAGCTTTGTCAGAAACATTTGCATCATATTATTTTCAAAATACTCTGGGCAAGAGAAGAAATGCTACATACACTCCAGGCTTGCTGAAATATTACACATTGGCCTGAAAGTTCTGCAGAGGTACTTAAAACTCCAAAACAAGACTTGTCAGATCAAACAGGTCCCTATACCGTCAGCTTGGCAGAAGCTGTCTGAAGAGTCGTCGTGCCGTGTCCACTGGAGCACTGCCTGCTGCGTTTCCTCGCTGCAAAGAGAGTGGGAAAAGGACTATTAGAAGGGGCACTGATACTGCGTTCCCTTTAAGACAAGCAAGGATTGGGGGAAAAAGAAGTCAAACCTCAAAGAGCCATCAACAGCTCCAAGTCTCTTGGCTTCTTCACATTCTTCAAAGTTATTGGCTTCTTCCGAATACTGGGTTGAAAAAGCAAAGGGGTGGGGTGAGGAGAGGATTAAAAAGCAGCTTTTCTGCTGTTATAATTCTGCCTTTGATGCAGTAACCAGTTTAAGCACCAGAAACCCTTTTATGATTCATCCCTCCCTGTATTTCCACTGGATGGCTGCAGATACCCAGAGCCTTATGCAATGTTGAGGACTGTTGCAGACTCTGGCACTGCCGTAGGAGCATTTTGTGCCTGCTGGTACCTGCTCTTGGTGAAGGCTCCTAAACTGCTCTGCATTAGTGGTGGTGAACACCTGACTTCAGGATCCACCTGAAAGGCCTCATAGCACACCAGACGTGGTCAAAAGAGGGTGAAAACTGGGCCACAAAGCACATCCCAACAAATATTGCTCATCTGATTCAGGCAGCTTTTATCAGCCGCGGTGACGCGAAACTGGTCCTGTAGGCAGAGGGGCACACCTACCTTGTAACTTCCAGACCTGATCCCATCAGGGACTTCATCCTGAAAGACAGAATTGAGCACGTGCCACACACGGGGCTGCTGTGGCCTTTCAGCCTAAGCTTTGAGAAAGATCAGGGAGATGACCACAGTTCCCAGCAGTCAGAACATAATCGAAGCACTCAGCTCAGCTTACAACACATCCAACTCCTGGCTCCTCCACAGACAAAGGTTAAGCGATATTCGCAGTGGTTTATTTTGATTTTTCACAAGATTCTCCTCAAAGGGTCAGCAGCCTTCCACAGGCACATCATCAGGGCCTGTTTTGCTCACCCAAGCCAAGCCAAACTCCAGAGGAGCAGGAGTTGCCTCTGCTCAGCTGATGCCTGGCACCGTCTCCTGGTGATGCCTCAGGTATTTCATCTCCCAGCCCTCACACACATCACCCAAAAACTTCCCTTTTCCCACTCTCTCACTGATATCAGCCTTGCCAGCTCTGCACAACCCGAGCCATACACATAAGAAAACCAGGCCCTAAATCCTCCTCAACTTCTATTTCCTCCAACAGTAGGAGGGCAAATAAAACCACTTCTGCGCCGCAGGAGCAAACACCATGATGGCAAGCAGCACAGGCAGAGAAAAATTAAGCAGTGAAAAAGAGTTATTTCTGTTGCTTTCAGAATGAAATGAACCCAAATCAAAATAATTAAAACCAGCAGCGACACAGTCAGTTCTTCAAATAGGAACAACTTCTAATTAGCCAATACTAACGTAATTGCAGCGTGAATCCTTCTTTGATCATCATCGTTACCAAGAATACCCTTTTCAAGGAAAAAAGTATTTAAACAAAATTTAGAGTTATTTTAATTAGGAGGGGGAACAATCATCATCCCATTTTGGGTCCACACTAGGTGCGTTTTGAAGACTACGGAAGCAAAGGACACTTGTTTGAGGGGTACAGTAGTTGGTGGCTAAGGAGATAAACTATTTAACATAGGGTCAGCTATTAAAAGCATAGCCTTGCTTTCAACTTCCAGAATTTAGCATTTTGGATTTTCTCATGGATAGCAGTATTACTGCACCTAAGAAAGCTCAATCGGAGCCACAGTTTTGCTGTAGCTACAAAAAGAGAAGAGTAAGTCATTTCCTTCCTTCTTCCTCTTGATCTGCAAAAGCCGAACCCAGAAAAGAGGTACAAGAAGGGATTTTGTACTTACAGACGGGCAGGGCTTTACAGCACAGTCTCTTATCCCACAGTGGCTGTTGTCATTCCAAAAAGGACAAGGTTTCTTTAGGTTTACCTACAAATAACGTATTATCCTATTACACATTTCCTCTTTACCAACACACGCCTTCAGCGCCTTGGTGCAAGACTTCAGATAACAACACTTAGTGCAAGGGTGAGCGGAAACGGATGGCGTTATTTACTTTAAACCAAGTAGATCGCACTCATTCACTTGTCTCTCGTATGAGGTGTGTGTGCCTGCGTGGACTGTCGGTGGTAACACAGAAACGGGACGCACCAGCCACCGATTCCTAAGCACATCCTGAGGCTCCTCTTGAGCGATGACAAACTGGGGTTTGCCCAGGTGCTTTGTACCTTTTAGGAGCCTACAGCTGCTATGGGGCAATCTCAGAATATTGCTCACTTCATTCCCCTTGAATTTTAGGGGAAGTTCACCACCCATTTATTTTGTTTCCTTGTTTTGGGCATCTTAGGACTAGAGCCTGCATTTCCCGTTCCCGGAGCAGAAAAAGGATGCGCTGGAGCCTGGCAGCCATCCTGCTGCTGCCAAGTCACCCTGGACGTGTTGGTGTGCAAACCCTGGGGGCTGGACGGGAACAAATCGTTCCTTGGCGTTTACCAGGTTAATTGCTATCGCTCATATCCTTGTTATCAGTACAGATCATTCTTTTAATCCTTGCTTTGTTGTTTCTTCTGGTGCTTTCACACACAGACATCACCATTCATCCTTCTTTCTTACTATTTCTTATTACTTCTGTTACAAATGGCACATTGGAAGGGGAAAAGCCATTAACTTTGTTAACAAATCCTAGTATTTCTTCTCTGTGAGTTGATATGAGACACTCAGAAGACTCACATTATGCAGCATGGATCTCCAGTCATCAACATTTTTGAGCCCAAACTCAAAGTTATTTCATTGATCTACTACACTAGTTCTTAAGAGGGAAAAATGCATAAGAAAATCTTAGGAAATTAAGTATTTCTTTACCAAGAGAGTGGTTAAACACTGGAACAGGCTTAGGGGAGAGGTGGTCAGAGCCTGGCAGTGTTTAAGGGGCATTAATTTGCCTTTTAATTTGCTTTAACTTTTGGTCAGCCCCGAAGTGGTCAGGCAGTTGGGCCAGATGATCACTGTAGGTCCCTTCCAACAGGAACTATTCCATTCTCTGCCTTTAAAAATATTCCATTTATTTTAGAAGCATCTTGTATCACATTAAGATTCTCCTGACAGTAGAAGAGCCACACTTACTGACTGCACTGTTAAAAATCACTGTTGAAATGGGGGCACCTGATTTTAAAAAGACCAGCAAAAATGAATGCAATAATACGATTCTTGTATGAGAAAATTACCTTGTAGTATCTGAAATAGTCACTTTCCAGCAGTTCATTCAGTCTAGGAAAAAGCTTGTAGTTGTTGAAGGCATCGATGGTTTCTACATCACAGGTGCAGTCATCCAAATGACCAGTAACCTGTTGGATAATAAAAAAACAACACAACTGAACACTAACAACTTAGTCAGTGCTTTTTAACACCGCATACAATAAAATAATTGACAACTTCTTCCCCTTTTACCAGCGACTCAGCTACTTAAGCTTAACCAGAATTAAACAGCATTAAACCAGACTGTGCTGAATTGGCAGTGAACTTCTCTCGATGCATCCCTTAGAATGTGTCCTGTGCTTGTTGCTCAGTGACAGGCACTTATATTTGGGAACACTTTTCCCCTGACACACTTTGATATACTGGGGTTCACTGATGTCAGTAACAGCCACCAGATGGACAGCTCCACCTCCTCAAAAAGCAGACACGAGAGACACAGCCAACTCGACTGTGTCACACACACAGAAGCCACACCGCCCTTGTCCACACATCAGACACCACTACACAGATCGCAGATCACAGCATCATTAAGGTTGGAAGAGACCTCTAAGATCATCCAGTCCAACCATCAACCCAACCCCACCATGGCCACTAAACCATGTCCCCAAGTGCCACATCCATGCGCTTCTTGAACCCCTCCAGGGATGGGGCCTCCACCACTGCCCTTTCCAGTGCTTGACCACTCTTTCAGTAAAGAAATTTTTCCTCATATCCAACCTAACCCTCCCCTGGTGCAGCTTGAGGTCATTTCCTCTTGTCCTTGCCACTGGTTACATGGAAGAAGAGACCGACCCCCCCTCGCTACCCCCTCCTTTCAGGAGCTGCAGAGGGTATAAGGTCTCCCCTCCCCTCCTCTTCTCCACTTGACCCCCCCAGCTCCCTCAGCCGCTCCCCATCATTCGTGTGCTCCAGACCCCTCCCCAGCTCCATTGCCCTTCTCTGGCCACGCTCCAGCCCCTCAATGTCCTTCTGGGAGTGAGGGGCCTAAAACTGACCCCAGGATTCAAGGGGTGGCCTCACCAGTGCTCAGTACAGGGGCACAATCCCTGCCCTGCTCCTGCTGGCCACACCATGGCTGATACAAGCCAGGATGGTGTTGGCCTTCTTGGCCACCTGGGCTCACTGCTGGCTCGTGTACAACCAACACCCCCAGGTCCTCTCCAGCCACTCGTCCCCAATGGAGTTGTTGTGACCCAAGTGCAGGACCCAGCACTTGGCCTTGTTAAACCTCACACAATTGGCCTCAGCCCATCGATCCAACAGATGTTTCTGCTGGAAAACAGATGCTGGGGCCAAATCCAGCACGACACTGGGCACCGGCTGCTGCAGAGCTGTGAGCTGGACCCACTGCCAGCACAGGGTCACATTTGAGACTACCTGCCCCAGTATGTGACTCCGGGCAGGATGGCACACAGTGAGAGCTGGCGTTTGCACAGGGACCAGTTAGGCAACAACAACGCCACCAAAGGTGACAGCGCTCAAAGAAAGTCCTCGTTGTGAGCAACGGCGCTGGAGCCATTTGTTTGATTTACTCAGAACCGCAGCGAATGTGGCAAGAAAACATTTGTTCTAAATCTGATGTGGAAAGGCAACGCTTCTTGCATCATCCTGAACAACTCAACTGTGTGCAAGACCCGGAGAAAACAAGAAAAAAAGGAGACAAAAAGCAGCCCAAATTCAGCTCTGGCTTTCTGACATGTAGATGAACGTCTGGGGGACAAAGTTGCTCAACACTGAAGTAGTTTTGCTTCCCCCACGCCCCCGATGAGTACTTGGGGAAATCACCCTGGCCAAAGTAAGTATTACTGCTCATTTACTCTCGACAGCACGCCAGGGACTTTTCCTTTATGTTGCTGTAGCAAATGCAACACATGGCAAGCTGCTATTTGCTGGTATTGGATACATTTAAGTTTTAACATCAGGGAGTTGTTTTAAATCAAAATTGTTGATTTGGGAAGCAAAGAACAGGACATTTGCCACAGTTCATGATAAGAAACCCTCCTGCCACTTCTGTCCCAGAAAGCCTCCAAAATGCTGGTGGCAGACAGCGCAGAAATTATGCACCCCCCATTACACTGTTTGGAGGGGTTGTGTCCTATCTCCACCTCCTCTCTGAGAGCAAGAAAGCAAAGGGGAAGCAGAGGGGAGCAGAACAAGGAGAAAAGCCCTGCAAGCCTCAAGAAAAAGCCTCGCTGATGCCAAAGCAAAGGTGCTGCTCCAACGTTCCCAGTAAGGGCAATTCATATGACTACACACAGAGAGAGCACACGTGAGAAACATGAGCCACCTGCCTTGACGCATTTCGCGAGAGCCCTCGGATAATTCAGCAAGGGTTACACATCAGCTTAAATAAAACCATTATAATTACTAGTGTAGAAAGGAAGCTCCCTGCCCTCCTTCCGAGAAGGAAGGCAGAAACGGTACCCTCAGAGCACACAGTCACACGAAATGAGGAAGGGGGAAGAAAAGTACTCTGAATTAAGCATACAGCACCTTAAAGACCAGGGCAAGTTTCCTCCTGCCACCCTGGACAGAGCGGGAAGGAATCCAGGCTCCATCACAGAAATCTGTATTTCAGAAAGAGCCTTTTTCAAAAGGGCTTTGATATTTCGAAGGGAAAAATTCTGATAGGTGAAGGAAACCTGTCAGAACACCATACTCCACCTGAGCAAACAGACACCATAATTCAGAGGCTCACTTCTATTCCTTGTGGTCACATCGAAGCCCACCAACTCATCCTCACACACCTCCCCTGTTCTGCCAAGCATTTTGCATGGGAATGAAGATGAACATCGTAGCAACGAAGCTTTCCACTGGCCTGAATCACCCTTGTAAAAGCCAGCAGCAATTTGCAAATCCAGTTACCCAATTTAAAGCTGTTTCAAAATTTTAGAAAAAATACCAAAACAACAAACAAACCACAGCCCAAAGCCAACCAACCACAGCTGGTTTTTTTTTTTTACTTCCTGGAAACTTGGCATCCTTTGAGGCAGCAGCTTTTAGACTGGGTTTAAAAGTGGCCTGCAGTGAGAGGTGTGGGCAATTTTCAGCTGCTCTCTGTATCCGTGCTGAACACAGATGTCACCCCAAGGGAATGACATCCCCATGAGAGGGGACACGGGAGCACTCAGTGAGCCCTCAGCTGAAACAGCACCAGGGCTGTCCTTGATATGTCCAGCAACGAATTCAAGCCAGAACCAACCATCATCCTGAAAACACTCCAGGGTGAAGCACTGCAGATGGTCCCACGGTATTCAGGAGTAGATGGGGTCATGCTTTGGAGATTTCCAAATATCCGCTGCTTGGTTCAAAAAAGCACTGGTGGGGATGTCACTGAAATGGGGGACAGAAAAACTTCTTAACACCAATGTTTCTATTCCCGATTTCGGTGACAGGGAGATCAGCCACGATGCCACCAAGAACGTGCTTGTGGGGCAGTGCAGGTGGAAGGGAAGCCCTGGAGAATCACAGAATCTTAGGAGTTGGAAAGGGACCTCAAAAGCTCATCCAGTCCAACCCCTGCCAGAGCAGGATCACCAGACCACGTCACACAGGAACACGGCCAAGCAGGTTTTGAATGTCTGCAGAGAAGGAGACTCCACAACCTCTCTGGGCAGCCTGGGCCAGTGCTCTGTCACCCCTACAGTGAAAAAGTTTTTCCTCATGTTCAGATTGAACCTCCTATGCTCCAGCTTGGGACCATTGCCCCTTGTCCTGTCATTGGACATCACAGAGCAGAGCCTGGCTCCTTCCTCCTGACACTCGCCCTTTACAAATTTACAAACATTAATGAGGTCACCCCTCAGTCTCCTCTGCTCCAAGCTCAAGAGCCCCAGCTCCCTCAGCTGCTCCTCATCAGGGAGATGCTCCACTCCCTCCATCATCTTTGTGGCTCTGCACTGGACTCTTTCAAGCAGTTCCCTGTCCTTGAACTGAGGGGCCCAGAACTGAACACAATATTCCAGATGCGGTCTCACCAGGGCAGAGTAGAGGGGCAGGAGAACCTCTCTGCCCTACAACCACCCCTCCTGATACACCCCAGGATGCCATTGGCCTTCTTGGCTCAAGGGCACAGTGCTGGCTCATGGTCATGGGAAAACTCAAGCTCTGCTCAAACTCCTTCCTCCAAGGACTCCAGTCAGATTGGGCAGAAATGAGCAATTTCCCCAACCTGCACGTGGCTGATAAGTTATCGCTGGCCTGCTTACCTTCCTGCTCTGCCTCCTAAGCCAGGCTGCTGACAAAAAGAGCTCAGCCGGGCCTGGTGACAGTGTCTGCATGTGCCCAACATGCCCGAGTACAAGCCACTGGAGCCCAGGAGACAGCAGCAAGAGCCAAGTCTCCTCAGAGCCAGAGATGAAAGCCCCAGTGATGGCACCACCAACCAGCACTGACCCGCTTCAAGACACGGGGCAGTGGGTGTTTTCAGACCACATGGGCTTTATCCCAGAAAGTCCTGCTTGCTCCATGACTGCTGCCACCCCAAAATCTGTTTTTTTCAGCCCTGCATGCAGCCACAGCCTCATTTGTTTTGGATCGCAATTCCCGCTGTCAGAGCGACTGAGCTGCAGCGTGTGTCAAACGTGCCCTGCAACAGGCGGTGTCCTAAAGCACTTTTCCCTCCCACCTCCCTAAAATATTTATCTATGTTTTCAGCCTGTAACAATGAGAACAGTTGTTTAAGATGAAACATAACATGATCCAGTGCCAAACATGTGCCATGTGCTTGCTGGCACCTGTGACTCACGGCGCAGCGATGGGTGGCACTGGGAGAGCCTGGCACGAGGCCGACGGGCAGGGCTGGCTTTGCCCGCTGGGAAGGGATGCAACGGAGCCGCCGGGACAGACGCAACCCAAACAGCTCTGGCTGCTGAGTAAGCACCGATGAAAGCGTGCGGCTGCCCCTCTGCAATAGCTGCTCTCAATCCATTAACAGCAACGTACCCGCCTCGGGTGCGTAACGCAGGCTGAAACACCACCACGTGTGGAGTCTGCATAATCCTCGGCTCTGGCCTTCGCTTCATCTCCCTTCACCTCCATCCCTGGCTCCTGTTGCTCTGCACTGATTTGTGCGGAGCGATTCGTGCCC